CTCTGCACCTGGCTGCCTCACCTCTGCACCTGGCTGCCTCACCTCTGAGCCCTGGCTGCCTCACCTCTGAGCCCTGGCTGCCTCACCTCTGCACCTGGCTCTCCCACCTCTGCACCTGGTAGCTTACAGCCGGACCTTGGAATGCAAGAATGGTTTAACAAGAGCAAAATCAATGTGATACACCACATTTTTAGACTGAAGAAGAAAAACCACATGATCATTTCAATGGATGTAGAAAAAGCATTTCACAAAATCCAACACCCTTTCATGATAAAGAACATACAACAAACAAGGAATAGAGGGGCACTTGCTTAACCTGACTGCGGACACCTACAAAAAGACCCAGAGCGTACATCAGACCCCACGGTGGAAGACCCCTATGATCAGAAGGAAGACAGGAATGTGTCCTCTCACTATTTCTGTTTGATGTTGTGCTGGAGCTGTTAGCCAGCATAACTAGGCAAGAAAAAGAAATTCAGATTGGAAAGGAAAAATTTAAACTAACTCTCTTTGCAGAAATTATCTTACAGATTGAAAATCCAGGGAATCCACTCTTTAAACTGAAACTAATATTAAACTAAACATTTAAATATTAAAATACAAAATATAAAATGATTACACTATTTTAACTAATGAACGCATTCAGTAAGGTTGCAGGATATAAGATCAATATGCAAAAACCAACATTGTGTCTATACAATTGCAGCAAGCAAAATGAGATTTTAAAAAGTTTTATTTACAACAGCATTAACAAAAATAGAATACTTATGAATACGTTTAACAAAAGCCATGTGAAACTTACACTCTGAGAACTACAATACGTTGAAGTTAAAGGAGGCCTCAGTAAATGGGAAGACATCTCCTTATCAGAATCCCACTGCCTTCTTTGTAAAATTGAGAAGCTAATTTTAACATTCATATGGAATTACAAAGGTCCCAGAATAGCTGTAGCCATCTTGAAAGAGCAAACTGGAAAGGCTTATACTTCCTAAATTGAGACTTACTGCAAAATGAGAATAAAAAGAATGTGGCACTGGCATGAAGACAGACATACGGACCAGTGGAATAGAATGCAGACCCCAGAAATAAATACATGTGTAAGTCAGCTGATTTTCAACAAGGACGCCAACATGTGGAAATGAGGATAAGGGCACGGTTTTCAACAGATGGTCCTGGGACAAGTGGTTATCCAGACACGATAGAATGAAGTTGGACCCTACCTCACACCACATACAAAATTTAATTCAATTTGGATTGAAGACCTAAATGCAAGAGCTTAAACTATAAATCTCTTTGAAGAGGATATAGGGACACATCTTCATATCCTCAGAGTTGGCAATAAATTCCTAGGTATGACACCAAAAGCATAAGCGATGAAAGAAAAAAATGGATAAATTGGATTTCATCAAAATTAAAAACTTCCGTGTTTCAAAGGACACTATTGAGAAAATGAAAAGACACGCTGTATGGGAGATATATTGAAAATCATATCTCACAAGGGACTTGTATGTAGAATAAATTAAAAAATCTTAACAGCTCCAAAAAAAAAGACAAATAACTGAATTTAAAAATGGACAAAGAGTATGAATAGAAACTTCTCCGAAGAAAGATCTACAAATGGTGAACAAGCGCACGAAAAGATGCTCACTGGGACGCCTGGGTGGCCAGTCAGCTAAGCGGCTGCCTTCAGCTCAGGTCATGATCTCAGGGTCCTGGGATCGAGCCCCGCATCGGGCTCCCTGCTTGGCGGGGAGTCTGCTCCTCCTATGTCTGCCACTCCCCCTGCTTGTGCACTTTCTGACAAATAAAAAAAAAAATAGATGCTCACTATCATTAGTTCCCAGTGATGTACGCACCAAACTGCACTGAGCTATCACTCCATACCCACCAGGGTGGTTATTATTATCGAAACGTTAGTAACAAGTGTTCGAAACATTAGTAACAAGTGTTGGCGAGGATGTGGAGAAAGCAGAACCCTCCCACACCGCTGGTGGGAACGTAAAATGGTGCAGCCTCCCCGAGAGCCATCTGGCCATTCCTTAAATGTTCATCATAGGGTTATGGTATGACCCAGCAATTCCACTCCTAGGTATGTATTCGAGAGAAATGAGAACTTGTGGTCACATGTTTATAGCAGCATTATTTCTAAAAGCCAAAGAATGGAAACAACTCAAATACCTATCAACTGATGAATGGATAAGCAAATTACGGCATATCCACGCAATGGGGTATTATTCATACATAAAAAAGAAGGGACTACCAGTGCATGCTATGACATGGATGAATCTCAAAAATACTGTTTTTTTTAAAGATTTTATTCATTTATTAGAGAGAGAGCATGGGAGGGGGGAGGGTCAGAGGGAGAAGCAGACTCCCTGCTGAGCGGGGGCCCGATGTGGGACTCGATCCCGGGACTCCCGGCTCATGACCTGAGCTGAAGGCAGTTGCTTAACCAACTGAGCCACCCAGGCGCCCTCAAAAACATTGTTTTAAGCTAAAGAATCTAGTACCAAAGACCATACACATACTCTATGATTCCATTCATAGGAAATGTCCAGAATAGGCAAATCCGTAGAGACAGAAAGTAGGTCATTGGTTGCCTAGGACTGGGGGGATGGCGGTTATCGGGCTGGGCTCGGACTTGGACTGATGGGCATGCTGTAAAGTTGACGATGGCTGCACGTCTGTGAAGGTACCGCAAGCCGTTACTGTGCACTGCACGTGTGCACTGGATGGAATGCGAATGATAGATCAACAGAGTTGTCAGAGCCCCACCACCCTAACACACAAAGATGCTCTCCTTTCTCTCGTGTCCTTCGAAAGAAGTGACCGCAATGCTGTGGCCGCATTAGACCCACTTCTGGTTCTGCTTGATCGTCATCTCTCCCAGAAGCTTTGCCGTGGGGCCACGTGGTCCTTAAAACAACGGCTCTGGCTCAGGGCACAGTGTCGCAGAGCTGGCTTCCTGGGCCCACGCTCAAGCCCCCAGGATGGGCTGCAGTGCAGCCCCGGCTTCTGGTGGGCACAGGGAGGATGTGGAGGAAAGAGGGGCTCCCGCCATCTCTGTTCTTGGGGCCAGCAGGGGTTTGGGGAGTTTCTGCCGAATTAGAGGTTAGATGGCCTTCCTGGGGGGGCTGACATGCTGTTTGAGGAGAGGAAGGTGGGGGGGTGCAGTGGAACCTGTGACCATCAATGGGGGGCCTCACTGGCCTTTGGTCCCCAGTCCCCTTGTGTCCTGCTGCCAACTGCTGGAGAGCAGAGCCAGGAGTCTTCACTCTGGAGAGCATCGTGAGCTGATCAAGGCTAAAGAAGCCTGGTGGCCTCTTACCGATGTGGAGGGAGGGGTACACCGAGCCAGCCGATGGCAAAGACAGGTGGCCAGGAGGCTGCAGAGGGCTGGCCGAGGATGCAGGAGCGGAGGGAAGTCAAGGGGTGAAGCCCCCTCCCCAGAGGCTGTGGATGCCCCAGCGACCCCAACCCCTGTTCTGACTCCTCAGACTTGGCGTCAGGCTGTAAAAGGGCTTGGGGTCCCACCTGGTTGCCCACAGTGCTGGGAATGGGCTCACTGCAACAGCTCGGGGCTCCCGATACCCGTGGGCATCACGGCACGGCTGGGGGACCCACGGAGCCTAACGTGGTTCTCTGTCACTGTAGCGGAGCTGACCCCCTACCAGATGCTGAAGCGGAAAAGTGCTGTCCTATCCAAAGCACTGCACTTGGAGGAGCAAGAGCGGTAAGTGGTTGGCTGACGGTGGCCGTGGGATGGGCAGCGTGGCCTGGCCTGACTTGCTGTGCCCAAGCCCTGAGCAACCTGGCCCTGCTCTCGGGCCGTAGGCCAAGATGCGGGTGGCAGATGGGGTTGGTCATGGGTGTGCTTGTGGAGTGGCCCAGTGGGGTTTGGGCACGGGCTCGCCTTCTTGAAGGTGTCTCTGCTGTCATGGGCTGTACTGCCCTGGGCCCTCCCAGCCCCTCCCAGCCCCTCCACCACCGGCCCCTCCCTGGGATCATGGCTCTGCACCCACTCTGCTGTTCCAGAACAGTCCTTTACATAAATGTGCACCTGATCATCCCCGTGGGCATTCTGGAACGTGCCTGCCCAGGAAACCCTGGTGGGTGAGGTGGGGGTGCTGAGCAGGGCAGGCCCTAGGGCTCGAGGGTGTGCCTGCTGGGGTCCGCTCCTCCCATATTGTGGCAAGAAGGGTTCCTGATGCCATGGCATTGTTCCCTACGTGGCCCTGGTGGCTTCTGGGCCACAGTGTGTTTCCTGTTCAAAATTGCCCTGTGCTAGACATCCGTGGACAGGGACTTCAGGTTTCTGTCCACGTGTGGGTGGCCACCCTGCGTGGCGGATGGTGGGCCTGGCACCAGCACCCACCCCCCCTCCCGGTGGGGATGGGGGAGCACAGAGGGCAGGCCCTGCCCGACTGCACACATGGCTCCTGTGCAGTATTCCCTTCTTCAAGTTCTGCTCCCAGTGCGGCCGCTCCGTGGGAGTGCGCCTGGTGCCCTGCACCCGCTGCTACAGGATCCTGACCTGCAGCAAATCCTGCAAGACCAGAGCCTGGGACGACTTCCACAAGCGGGACTGCGGCACCCTGCCAGTCATCGGTGAGTCCGCCTGCCCGGCCAGGTGCTATGGAGCCTACCGTGTCTGAGGACGTAGGCCCCCCGCCTGTGGGGGTGCTGCGTGAGGTCTCCATTGTCCCCTGAAACCTCTCTGGTTCCCGCCACTTTCCAGAATTCCCAGATGGGCTAGTTGTGCAGACAGGGAGGGTGCTGAGCCCACCTGCTCCTTCTCTACGTGTCATGGGCCCGTGGCTCCCTGGAGGTGGGCATGGCCTGGGCCCTACAGAACCTGGACACCATCCCTGGGGCTCTGTGGGACATGTGGGGGGCTCCCCAGCACATGCGGGGGCCCTGGTGGGCACCGGTTTCCCTGGACCACAGGGCACTTGGCCTTCGCACTGCTTCTGGAAGCTTCCTCCCAGCCCACCCTCCCCACACCCCCACCTTTGGGATGAGCTGGGGAGGAGATGCGAGCATGTGGGTGGTGTCTTTGGACCAGGTCACCACTGCTCTGAGAGTAGCTAATGGTGAGCAAAGCTGTGTGCGCAGCTGTCCCCTGGGACTTGACCAGGTTTTGGGGGGGGGCAGGTGTTGCTTCGCTCTTTCTCAGAGCTGTCCTTGGTGTAGAGGGACAGAAAGGCTGGGCTGACCGTTGCCCTTGGGCCTGTGCCCCTGGAGCCCTTCCTGTCTGAGCTCCGACACTTTTCTCGGTGCTCCTCTCTGAAGTGGGGCTCTGTGGGGTGCACGTGGGTCTGGACAAGGCTCCCTAGGCTTGGAGACCCCAGGCTGGGAGTCCCCCGCTTTGAAGAGATGGAGTCATTGCCATGCATGCCACACGTGTGCAAGCATGACACCATGCAGGGCAGGACAGGGCTGAGCCGGGAGCCCAGGGCTCGCAGAGCTGAGTGCTGTGTTCCAGGTGACACCATCAAACAGTAGCAAGCCGGCGGGGCCCACAGGGGGCGTGGGGTCCACCTGCACTCCTGCAGGGGCCCTGCGCCTCTGCCTCCTCAGGGACAGCCCAGGCCCTCACCTTCCTCCTCCCTGCCAGTTCCTTCTCCAGGGCCCCACCTGGAGGACTTGCACAGGAGGGCGGAAGAATCTCAATAGCCGGAACAGCCGGATGCCCAAGGCCTGGGGGGCGCCCAGAGGCAGGCTGCACCACCATGATCCTCACCTGCTGGCAGCCACACCTCGGTGCGCCTCCGGGCTGCTGGCCTTGGAATCTGCTGGCCTCATGCAGGACGTCTGCACCTGCAGGGCTGTGCGTGGCAATGTCTCCCCCCTGACCTCGCAATAAAGTGGTCCCACTGGGTGTATTTTTAACCCTCCCTGCCTTGCTCCGCTGGCCTGTACCCAGACAAAGCCCGGAGCTTCCTGGCTCCGGTGCCTGGCATCCGTCAGTTGATGGGAAGGCTGAGAGGGTGAGGGTCAGGACTAGAGCTCGCTCTAGAGATTACTACCAGAAGGTCACTCCTGTACCCCTGGGGAACGTTTTGGGGCTTCCCAGGTGCTCCCAGCCCTGGCTCTCCATCTGCCTTCCTCCTGGTCCCCAGAAGGGAGGGGTGTGTCCATATCCTCCATGTGCATTTACCTGCATTTACTGAGTGTCTGTGCGCATCAGGCAGGCTCGGGGGGCGGGGGGCGGTGACGGTGGAGAGGAAAATCCCCCGTGATTGAGACGGGGGTGTGTGGGGGTGACTGAGTCAGGAGCGCTGCGTGGTGGTGATGGTGGCCATGGGTGGTGGGTGTGCGTTCGTGGAGAGGGTGGGAGGAAGGGGGCAGGGAGGGCTGAAGACTGGGGTGCCAGTCCTGAGCAAGAAGGTGGTGGGCATGGCCAGGGAGAGGGGGTGGGGTGGGGCAGGTGGGGGAGGAGGTTGGGAAAAGAGCGGTCCTGAGCCTGTGCAGGGACCCCAGCTAGGCCGCTCTTTGCTGGTCAAGGCAGCCCCATCTGCAGCCATGTTTTTGCCTGATTTCCTGGGTCTCTTGTCTAGACGGGGCTCCTGATGTGGGAAGCTTGCTGGGGAGGCTCCCAGGTAAAAGGGTGAGGAGAGCACCTGGGCACAAGGAGAAATGAGTCTGTGTGTAGCTCTGCAGCTCTGTATCAGCCGGTCCTGCCCCCGGCTGGGGCTGTGGAGGGCCTTCCCGGGGAAGGGCTGGGGCTGGGGTCAGCCCCCAGAGGCGTGTGGGCGGCTCCCACCTCAGCTGTTAGGAAAGGGAGTGCTCCTAATGAGCACCTCCCAATTTTGAACTTGTTAATTATGTGACGTTTAGAGATATATATGTACACACGCAAAAGTAAGAAAAGATTAAATGGCAGTTATCCCCAAACTCAGAATTTAGCATTGCCAATACTTTGGTGTGTGTTCTTCCAGTCCCATCTGTGTCTGTATACACACACCACATCCATCACACACGCTGTACATCACACCCTCCAGCACCACACGCCGCACCACAGATGTGCACCACGCACCGCACAGCACACACCACACGGGATGTGGGAGCGTGATCTGTATATTCTAAACTTAACCACGAGACTTTCTATGCTATGTTTTTCTGCAATGTAATTTTCCCCAAGTGAAAATAGTATTATTTTTATTTTGATTATGCATGCAATCTATGCCCATTGTTAAAAAGCACAAGAAAATGAAAACTGCGAAAATCCTCCTAGTCTTACTGCTCAGGAACAGATAACCTGAACGTATTAGATTTTCATCTGCCCAGGTGCACACACAGTGCATCTTCATGTGCCCCCATGCATATGCACACACGTGTTGTCATGTGTTCCTCCATTTGTTTTTAATTCAGTGGCTCATTTTGTGACTTTAACCTGCCTTTCTGGTGCACTGTGTGCATCCTACCATTTTCCTGAAGGAACTGAGGCATCCGCCCACCACCTGGCTGCTGGGCATCTACTGTTTCAGGGTTCACTCATGGACGGGGGCTGCACACATACACCTTCCACCTAGTTTTCCTTTGGGCAGAATTCACAGAGGTTGCGTTTTCAGATTTTAGGAGCGTTCCCGTCATCAGTCGTCTTAGCCTGCTTGTGAGCGTGTCCGCGCTGGCGACACCTGGTCGGTAATGGCACTGCCAGTAAGGTCCACTTCCTGTCTTCCGGGGATCCATGTACGAGCTGAAAGTCCTCTCCACGCTCGGATGTGGGAACATGGCATTGAGGTTTTTCCTCGGGTCCGTTTTTGGAGATGCCTGCCCTTCCAGCCTCGGGGGAGCGCTCCCCACACCCTGCCACCCTCCCTGCCGCCCCTCCCTCTCGTGGGACTGATCTTCACTCCGTTTGAACTTCGCTCCATGGAGTTTTTCACTCTGTTGTCAAATCCATCTGTCCTGTTTCAGGGTCTGGTTTGCTGGCAGATTTAGGAAGCAGTCCCCAGACTGAGATTATACAAGGTTCGCCCGGATTTAAAAAAAAATCATTATTGTTTTGCTTATAATGTTACAGTTGCCCAGAATTACTGTGAGAGATCTGAGAGCCAGCTGGACTGGTGGTGACTGAATCCCGTGGCAGGTGCAAGGACGCCCCGGGCTGTGGCTCTGCAGCCTCCGGTGCACTGTCCCCACCGCGGGACGGCCCGGCCTGCGCTCCATTTCTCTGGGAAAGGCACTAGCTGTTAGTCTGTGCTTATTCAGCTTGTATGTAGATTTGGCCTGTCCGGTTCAGAAACGTTTGTTGACACTTTCTAACTATCCTAATCGCTTAGTGTGATCGGGAGACGTGTGGCATCTTCAGTGGCTTGAGGCTTCCAGGTAAGGCTGTGCGGTCCCCGTCCGGTCTGACGGTTTCCTGAGCAGAGGAGTCCCCGCTGGCTGCTCTCCCCATCTCTCCTCACGCCAACCCTGTAGGAAGTCTGCTCAGCTCTGCCTCCCGAGTTTGGCCCAGTCGGGCCACCTCCAGAACCTCCTGCCCGCACCACGCCTGCCCACCTCCCTGTCCCTGTGGCCCCCAGAGGCCAGGCCGTTTTGCTCCTGCACCCACTTGTGTCCCGTCAAAGTCCCCCCTGTACCCGTTGCTCACTGCCCCCCTGCTCCAGCCCCCTCCCGCCCCCACCTGGGTCCGCTCCCCCATTCCTGTGGCTCCTCCCCCCCGTTCCCAGAAGGCTGCTGTGGAGTCCACTCCAGCTTCTGGGTCAACAGGTGCATTGAGCGATTATTCTCTGACCACCATGCTTCTGGCACCTGAATTTCATGGAGGACAAGGTAACTGGATCCCTACCCTGGGGGAGTCTGCGTTCTAGAAGGGAGAGCTGTCCTGTGGGAGAAAGGCCCCCTTTGCCAGACCGCACGCAGCAGGACAGGAATGTTTACTGGCAGAGCTTCTGTTGGTGTGAGGACGCAGGCTAGGCACGGAGGGGTGGCCCCACCAGGAGGGCACAGGCCCACCTCCTGCGTGCTTGTAGGGGGGGCAGGGGGCAGGGGAAGGGCACAGCCCTGCCTCCCCTGCGGCCGGGGTGGGGGGGGAGGTGGGGGGGCGGGGGGGGCGCGGGCCCCGCCCCCGCCTCCCCCAAGCCCCTGCGGGGGCACAGCTCCTCCTCCCTGCAGGGCGGGGCTTCCCGGTCTCCGCAGTGCTGCGCCTGGCCCCAGCTGTCTGGGTTGGTGGCAGGCGCTGCGGATGCCTGTGCAGGATCCTGTTTCTGTTCCGAGTCTGTGGCTCGCTCTTTACCCGCGGCTCGCTGTTAGTTGGCAGTGGCCGCGTGGCAGCCTTGTGTCTACACGGGATGCTTCCAGCCGATTTCTTAAAAGGATACAGGCATTACATTTTACAGATTGGTACACCAAAGTTAATCATTCCAGCTTAAATCTTTTTCTCTAGACCTCTTTTAACGCATTGGTCTGGTTATTCAGTCCACGTGGTGCCTTTGTATGTTTCCCCTTCTGTGTGAAGTGCCCCCATGTCCCGGTCTCCCTGCCCTGGCCTGTCACCCAGAACATTCCGCTCATCAGGAACCCAGCTGCTTGTATCTTCAGAATACACCGACCCAGGCGCCTCTACCCTGGCCCTTAACTGGGCGCTGTGCATCAGGGTGGGAGGGGGTGCGCACCTCACCCCCCTGCTCTGTACCAAGTTCTGGGGCGGGCGGCGGGGGGAAGGCTGTGGAGAGGCTGGCCTGGCCAGACACACGTGCTCTCCGTTCCCTCCCGCGATGGTCCCTAGAGACTCCAGCCAGAGCAGGGTGCAGCCCAGCCGGCAGCCAGCCACCCCTCAGGTCCCGAGCGACACGGGCAGCTGGTCTGAGTGGAGGCCCGGCACTGCCTGAGTGTGGACCAGGGGGGTGCGTGCCTGGTCACCTGTCCTGGGGGATGCTGTGGAGCGCAGCTCCCTCCTCGGAAAGTTTTGTGTTGCTGAGCCCCTCTACCTGCTTCTGCTCTCTGCGCATGAGGTGTCCTGGCTTCTCTGGGGGGACTCACCTCCCTTCTCCTCTGGCCATAGTGTGCTCAGCCCCTTGGCTCCCTGCAAATGTGGCAGTTCTGGTCACTTAGGTCCTGCTGCAGAGTGGGGGTCCCACCCTGCCCAGGCCAGGCCCCTCACCGAGCCACCGCCTGTCTCTCTGCCCCTGCTTTGTGGCCTCCCTGTCGTGGGGATCTGGCCTCCCTGGGACTGGGAGGGTGTGGGAAGACAGTGGTGGGGATGTGTGCTCAGACGGGACGGAGCGCAGGGCCTGGTGACTTGTGAGGGCCTAGACACCTTGGACGTGGAAGGCTTCGGCAGGCCTGGCACAGAGGTCTGTCTGGGCTCTCCCCTGAGCATCAGGGCGGTGAGGGCAGGAGTGGAGACCAGCTGGGCAAAGGTGTGGGCAGGATGGGTGCTCAGGGGAGAGCCTGCTGGGGCAGGGGCAGAGCTCAGCATAGAAATGCCCAGCATGTGGGAGACAGGCTGCAGAGAATGTGCTCAGTGGCTCAAGGAAGATGTGGGAGAGCCCTTGGGGTGGACGTCATCAGTGATGGAGAGTGTACTGAGGGTGTCCCGCGGCTGGTCCTGCTGTGGGGAGTGGTTGTGGGAAGAGGGGATGGCCCACAGAACTGGGAATGGGGAGCCAGGAGTGTGGGACCTTCTGCTCCGCTGGACCGTGGAGGGTGTGTGTGTGTGTGTTCGTGTGTGCATGTGTGTTTGCGTGTGTGTGTGTGTGTGTGTATAGAGGGGTAGTGCTGAGCAGGTGGAGGGCTGAGTTTAACGGGGGGCTTACCCAGGCAGCTATTCAGGGGTCGGTTTGCTGACGGTGGTCCGAGACTAGCTCACCCACCTTCTGTCTCCCTGCCACTCCCACCCTTCCT